TGATGCCCTGGCAGCCCCCATTGATGCCCCAGGGCACCCCAAACCCCCATTGATGCCCCAGCAGCCCCCAGGGATGCCCCCGGCGTACCCGGTTGATGAGCTCGCCCACCATGCCGGTCCAGGAGCCGTTGGGCTCGGGGGCGCCGTAGAGCCCGTCCTCCACCAGGCGGATGTGGAAGCGGAACTTGAGCAGCGCTGCCAGCTCCTGCAGCATGTCCACGCAGAAACCCTCGTAGCGCTCCGCCCCCGCGCCCCCCACGCGCATCACGTACGGGTTCTCCTGTGGGGGACACGGGGAGGTGGTGGGTGGGCAGGGAGAGCCACGGGAACCCCATGGAGACCCCCAAGGGGATCCAGTGGGAACACAATGGAGATGACCCCATGGGAACACAATGGGGAAACCAATAGAGATCCCAAAGGAGATGACTCCATGGGAATACAACGGGGAACCCAATGGAGATGACCCCATGGGAACACAATGGGGAAACCAATAGAGATCCCAAAGGAGATGACTCCATGGGAATACAACGGGGAACCCAATGGAGATGACCCCATGGGAACACAATGGGGAAACCAATAGAGATCCCAAAGGAGATGACTCCATGGGAATACAACGGGGAACCCAATGGAGATGACCCCATGGGAACACAATGAGGAACCCAAGGGGACCCAATGGGGATGACCTCATGGGAACTCAAAGGGGAACCCAAAGTGGAACCCAATAGTGAGCTCCAATGGGAACACAATGGGAACTCAACAGAAAACCCGATGGGGAACCCAATGGAGATGACACCATGGGAATCCAATGGGGAACACAATGGGAACCCAACGGGGATGACCCCATGGGAACACAACAGGGATGACCCCATGGGAACACAATGGAGACGACACCATGGGAACCAATGGGAACTCAACAGAAAACCCAATGGGGAACCCAATGGAGAACTCAAGGGGGAACCCAATGGAGACCCCTCCCAAGGGGAACCCAATGGGGATGACACCATGGGAACCCAAAGGGGAACCCAATGGAGAACACAATGGGAACCCAACAGAAAACCCAATGGAGAACCCAGTGAGGAACCCAATGGAGAGTCCAAGGGGAACCCAATGGAGATCCCAATGGTGAACCCAAAGGGGACCTCCACAGAGATCCCAATGGGGACACCCCAACGGGAACCCAAGTGGACCCCAAGGATGAGCACAACGGGACCCCAAGAGGGACCCTAATGAAGACCCCAAAGGGACCCCCCCAGTGGGACCCAAATGGAGACCCCCAACCAAGGGGGTCAGTGGGGACACCGTGGGGTGGCGAGCAGCACCCCCATGAGGACCCCCCCATGAGGACCCTCCCCCAGCCCCCCACTCACCAGGATGGTGGTGATGATGAGGGTCTTGTTGGCCAAGCTGTCGGAGCCATTGAGGGCCAAGGTGGTGGCGTTCATGGCCAGGGTCCGGTTGGAGAACCACACCCCCACCTGGGGACGGGGCACAGCGTGGGGCAGATGTGGGGCAGACGC